GAATGTCCAAGGTATCACACAAAGTATTACACCTAGAGACTGTAATTAAATCTAAAATGGAAACTTCTCAAATTCTCAAATCTTAGGTTTATTATTCTAATTATTATTATTGTGTAACGAAGCTCATTGTCATGTGTTGTTGTGATCTGATTATGCCTAATTTAATTATCCGCCAAGCAGAAATGAAGCGAGGATAAAGGTGTTTTCAGCTCTTTGTTCCCATGTTTTTGCCATTTCAGATCTACAGGCGTATCCCCAAGAAACTAGACTTGGAATATCATTCGGGAATTTCATTCAAAAAGTGAAACTCAAAACACACATATATGGTATTTTCATTAAAAATAAAAAATAAAAATCAATGCACCTGATAGGATTATTAAAGTATGTTCATGGACTGAGGAGTATATGAACATAGACATCAAATTTGAAATTCATAACTCTATGCCTAATGATGAGCTTCACTTCTTGAATTGAATTGAAAAAATACTTTTTAATTATATATTTCTTGGAGATTCACCTGTAAATCCTGTTTCAAAAGCCAGAATGTTGCCTTTTTGGAGTGAATCAGGACAAAAATCTCTTCATGCTGGAATTAAAAAAAAAACAAGCTTCCCCATTAATTTCTCACATTTTGATGCTTCAGACTGAGGTTCTTGTAGAAATATAATAACTTCCTATCGTAAGAATTCATTAATTTATTATCTCCTAAAGCAAATATCAACACTGAATTTGGGAATAGATGGCAGGGCTTAACCATTAAAACTTCAGCTGTGTTACATTTATCTTTAGGGGTTTTTTTAGGTCTTTCTCTCTGATAGCAGTGTTGATGTAAATATGAAATATTCTCTAACTGTGTAGTCATTCTCTCAACCTGACTTCATTTTTTTTACGATGGTTTAATAAAGATTTATTGCTCTAATTGGAGACTGAGCTCCTTCACAAATCAGGTAATGTGCAGAAAATGCACTTCCTCATTCTCTGTAATTGCACAATCTGTAAACGTATAAAAACAAATGTTCAGTCCTCAAACACATTTGTAATATTTTATTATTTTTTTCCGTATTTTGTTGAATATGTCACCCGGGCATTGTTTTATTTTGTGGTTTTCTGGGCGTATGCTGTAAGCTTTGAGAAGTTCAGATTCAAAAAGCTTTGTTATTTTTTTTTTGTTTGTTTTATAGTAATATGTGATCTTCCCCATATAAATTACCATTACTGTGTTGTAACAGTCATTGTATCACTAAAGTGAAATCTATTCTAAAGTCGGAAAGAGCTAAATACCAGACAATTCTTAGCTCTGCTTTAATGCTTTGCACCATTTTGTGTTGGAATAAAACTCAAATTTTTATTTTTTATTTATTTTTTGGTTGCGATGTGACAAAATCTGGAAATGCTCAATGACTGTGAATAATGTTACTAAGGACTGAAACTGCAGAAAGAGTCACAGCAGCCGACTGTTCCTGGGTATTGGTTTTAAACTTTATTCTCAAAATGTGTCCTCATGTTTTCCCTTCACATTTTTGGATATTTTTACATAGCTAGAGAGAGAGTACAAAATGCAGATTAAAAACCACTGAACAGAAATGGCAGAGATAAGGAGTGGATGGAGGTGAGAGTAGACATGTCACATTCTTATTATAGATATAGTGACCAACTAAAAAAAACATACAATGCAAGTCATTTAAACCATTTTTAGGTGTTTTCTTTTTTGTTTTGTTTTTTTTAGTACAAATTTAACATTATGCTCACTGTTGAGAAGACTCACTAGATTGGTTCTTTGTAAATGTAGACCGTTAAACTCTTGAGGTGAATGCTCTCACTCAGCTTTATAAACATGGCTTTTATTGAGGTCACTTGAGTTGCACTGTGGCTCGGGGTGAAGAGCCTGTAGTGGAAGGCAGGACAGCAGTGTGAGCCTGCATTAGTGCCACCACACGGACTCGCATGGCTTGTGTACTGTAGTTTTCTTGTTTGCATGTGTTCAGGGGCGGAGATATATATATATCTATCTATCTATCTATCTATCTATCTATCTATATATATATATATATATATATATATATATATATATATACACACATACTGGCATATGCTGCCACCCCTGAAAAAATCCCTGCCCCCCTCTTGCCACCCCATAAATATTTTTCTAGATCCGCCCCTGCATGTGTTGATGGCTTTGCCTCATTATGCAGCGTTTTACTGTGAAGTTACATTCACATCATGAATTCTCCCAGCTTCATACTGCTGCTGTGTGACCCACACCCAGTTCTCTTAAGTCTTTTTTTATTCTAATCATGTCTAAGGAAGTGACAGCCTCTGGTTTAAATTTCTCGCTTGCTATTGTTTGACTCTTTATTATTTACTGATTGTCTGTTTGGGTCGAGTGAATGAAATCTAGACCAGTGAGATGATGGGTGTTTCATAAAGAGTGGCTTCTATTTATTGATTTTGTTTTTTGTTTTTTTTACAATTTGTGTCATAAAATGTTAATAAGCAAAAAGGCTTTTTTTCCCCAACTATGAAGTTTCTTTTTAAACTAGATCACTTTTTAAAATATCTACTATGAAATCCTGGGTAAACTTTTGTTGGGTGTTGTTTTTTTTACATTAAATAACTACACAAACCATATGGCATGATGCTGCCACTTCCGTATTTAAAATACTTTTGATTAAAAAAGAAGAGAAGAGCAATGTGTTCTTCTCTTCTTTAGTCTGACTTATTTTTTTTTCCCTTTAGCTTCTTTTAGTCGGTATGCTTTGCCTTCATAAACGCAGGCCTAACAGAAAGCTACCAGAAAGTACCAGCAGACAGGTTCTTTAGTGTCTTTAGTCCAACCTTTTGTACGCATTAAATACCCAAAGCATGTTTCAAATCCGTGAACTCAGGCCTCCCAGTAGGGCAAACTAACAGGTTCAGTTGTTCTCTGTTAATCCCTGCATTTGTTAAAAAGCCAGAGCTGCAGAATCGAACCTCTAAACCAGTTTTCCTCCAGCTTCTTACATATATTCCTCCAGGATTTCCCTGCATTTAACTCCCAGACTATTTGATTCGACATCTTTCTGCAGCTTCCCTGTCCCTCTGAAGAAACAAATCCCCACCATGATTTGAATCCAAATGTTGTCATGTAGTGTAGCTAATCTATATGTTCATAGAAGCCCGAGCCTTTCACCAGTCAGTTTGCAGGCTTTTTTTTTTGCACTGGAAAACCTGCAGGTGTGAGCCACCTTTATGAAACACCCCACAGAGGGAAGAGTGCTAGCAGAACTCATTTCATTAGTGCGACTGCAACTTGGTGACATATAAGGCATGTCGAGTTGGTCTTGCTTCAGGAATATCTCGATAGCACCATGTCAAACTAATGTAAAACGTACTCCATGCATCTGCAGATATATAGTGTATACATGTCAATGAATAGATATGAAAGTCAGAGTTTGTTACACAAGTGTTGAATATATTTGAAATTCAGGAAAAAAAAAATAAAATAACTATCAGAGATGAGATGAGAGTACAGCCTGTAAGTTAGACGGTACTCTCAGCCCACATGACTGCTACTATCACTTAAAAAATAAAATGTATTCACTCCGACTCTTCCCGGTGCATAGAGCGTTTAGTTTGCATAACTGCAATTACACCTGCAGTGTGTGCGCCGTTCTGCACTGCGCCATGCTTTCCTCGTCTCTGCGTTTTACAAAGCTCCTCTCAAACGCCGTGTATTTCACTCTGCGTCGGTACGTTAGCATTTAGTGCTCTGAACTCAAACAGCACAGTATTACAGTTCACAACCATTTTATAAGGCAAATTGATGAAAATACCTTAATGTCCTGTATGGCTTTTATCAAAGCATGCATAAACAAAGCACACAAAAAGAAACTGAAGCTGAAGTAAACAAAAAAAAAGAAAAAGAAAAGTTTTACAAATAATCTTTGGTTGAGTGTGAAGCATTCCTGTGCTTTTAATTTACTCTTTCGCCTTAGCATTTCTAAATACAAATAAAAAGGTTTTTTCTGTAATCATACACTCGCTTAAATACAGGCAATAGTGATGGCTTTCAACCTAAACTACACTATTTGTCACAAAAATCATATGAAAAAAAAAAAACAACAAAGAAAGAAAGAAATCGGGTGATATAAAGCTTGCTCCGACTGGTCGTACACAAATACTACTTCCTCTTTCCAGGTTGCCTAGGCTACTGCCTCTCCAGGCGGCTCTCCTTTCTCATTCACTTCTTCTTGGCAAAGCGGCTGAACTTCTTCTCCTTGTCTTTCTTGGCAGCGCTGGGCTCAGGCAGGGCAGTTGAGGAGGAGGGAGCGGTGGGCAGGCTGTGGGTTTTGGAGCCCGAGGGGCCCAGGGCCTCCTCCGCTGCCAGGGTCTGAACGGCCTTCTCCATGGCCTGGCTCCAGCGCTGGAGCTCCTCCTGGAATACCATGGAGAAAAAAAAAAAAAACCCACATGGAGTTGGCTTAGGCAGGGAATTTTCCCCCCCAGTGAGGCGGTGTGTGGCTTTGCCTTGTAGTTTTCACTGGTTTATCTCAACAGGTGTTTGTGAGCTGAGCTTAGCGCCAGAGATCGTCACTATTTAAACCTTGAACTCTTGACTGTCATGTGCTTCATGAAAGACATGTGAAAGTTATGCATTGTTTTTATCAGCAGTTTGAAAACGTACCTCATCTTTACACTGGAACAGATACTCGCTGCCATCTGCAAGTCTGCGAAAGGACAAACAAAAAAAAAAGACATTTAATGAAACGCTTATTATATTTATCTATGAACGTTGTTCCGTGCAAACACATCCGTCTTATCGCTGCATCCTGTTCTGTAAGTCTTGGTCACTTTATGATTATGATTATGACAAGCAGTCACATGTCCATAATCGTACGGTAAACTTTACGGCTGCAAAAGTATTTGCACACCTTGAACTTTTTTCCACGTTTTGTCACATTTTAACCACAAACTTCACTGTATTTTATTGGGATTTCATGTGATAGTATTGTGCTCTAGCAGACTTTATTTACTTTTTCTATTCAATTGTTTCATTTACACTTCAAAAAGAACGTGTCACCTACTTACATAAACAAAAGCTTTGACTAAAAAGAAGTAGTTTGAGGAAAATAAATCTTATACGGTCTCTGCCTTCTCTCAAAAGTTAGTTTACTGCACCATAAGGATCTAAGCATCAATCAGCCATCCATGTCAGTTCTCCAGCCAGAAGAATAGAAGACAGCTGGATTTATTCTGAGATTAAATTCCACGTTAATTTGTGTTTCATAGAAATCTCAATAAAATGCCTTGAGGTTTTTGGTTCTAGCGTGACAAAGTCCCCTCGAAAAGTTCAAAAGGTGCGAATACTTTTGCGTGGTGTTTAATTATTCCTGAAGCTAAAGTCCACAGCAACAGCTCAGTAATTAAACCTTTCTTTGCATTTATGAGTCCGGTAATCCCCGCCTCAGGCAGGTGGGACGGCGCGCAGTCCCTCCCTGGAGCCAGCTGCTTCGTCAAGCTTTATTTGACATTTGATAAGAATCCCCTCCAGCTCCAAAATGTCACTTGAATAACACTCATGAATTACGGTACTTCAGCCAGGACTCAATGCAGAGCTTCTTACGTTTAAAGACTTTTTTATTTTTTATTTTTTTGTACACATTATGTTTTAGGCTCTGACAAGCTTTAGCTTGTGCTTTCCCGAAGTGGTGCATTCTGAGGATTTCACATCCTGGGTTCCCTTTATTCAACGGCGCCATGATGTTTGCATCCAGAATTTGGGGATGTTCAGTTGGAGCCGCGCCGCCACAGAGTGTCTTCGACCCCGGCGCTTTGAAAAGTACAGAAAGCGTTTCTGTCTTGACTGTGTTCCTGTTTCCCTTCAAAGTTCTTTACAGCGTACGTCTCACTTTCTGACTCCATCCGTCTCAGTCTCGTTTATTCGCCACCACCTCGTCGTTCGGATTCTCCTTTCTGTCTAACAGAAAAGGCATTTTAATTGATTTTTTTTTTTTTTTTTTTTTCTCGGTTCTCGTATTGACTTTTACAGTATGAATTATTTATGATGATGATCGTCTTCTGCATAGACAAAAATTGTTCTTGGTGGAAAAGCGAGAAAGTTTCACAATTATAACTTTGTCCTGCTGCGAGGACATGATTTATCTCTTTAAATCCCCCATCAGCTGCTGAGGAGCCCAGAGTTGTTGAGCGATACCACAGAAAATTAATCACACCCCTGAGCTGTCTTCAGCTGATGCCGATTAATGACGTTTAAGATTAATCAGCGGAAGGAGATCAGAAACCAAGCATCTTAAAAATTCATTTATTTTTCAAGGTAGATTTTTTTTATTTCAAAATTTCTCTGTTCAGTGAAGCGTAATCAGTTTCAAGTTTGACCAGAATCTCTCATATTGTCCGATAAGGTTGCTTGTCATCAAATTCAAAGACAAACCTAAGGAAATGCAAAATGCACTTTTCAAATGATGATTTCATTTATTAGTGAAAAAGCTAACCTGATCATGTTCAAAAGCTCAGGGCCTAGCATCTGAACTGAGCTTAAGTCCTGACTTTGACTGGGCCGATACAAAACATCCTTTTTTTTTTTTTAGCCATTCAGAGGTAGACTTGTGCTTCTGATCTTAGTCCAGCAGAATGACCAAACTGAGTTTAAGGTCATGAATGTCAACATGATGTTCTCTACCTCCAGCTTTCTGTAGTTTTTGTGTTAGGTTTAACAAAGTTGCACATGTTCTAAAGTGTTCCTCTCAATCCACAGAATATTTTTTCAGAGGGAAAGTGGATACCGATTTTGCCTGGTATCATTCTTTTTTATTGTTCAACGACGAACTCTGACCTTAACTGAGGCTAAGGTGAGGCTTGCGGTGCTTTATTTGTTGTTCCATGATGTTCTGTGATCTTCTGGAGTAACTTTGGTAGGTCAGAAACTCCTGGGAGAGTTCACCGCTGTTCCACCTTCTCTCAATTTGTGGATAGCGGCTTCCTGTGGTTCACTTTCCAGACTGCTAGATGTCATTCAGTGACTTTGTTTCTCATCTGCTCTCGAATTTTTGGTGGTGGCATCACATGAGGCCTGGATGTGGCCAGTGAAATTTGATTCCTCTTTCCAAAAAATGTGGTTTCTCTGTTAAATCATGATTAATCAGGGCAACAATGACTTTTCTACATAGAACCAGGTTGGATTTTCCAACCGAAAACACAAGAAACCTATAAGGAGATAAAAAAAGAAAAACCTGTTCACAGCACTGTATATACTGGGGCTGATCTGTTTGATGGGGACAGTAATTGAAAACAACAGGAAGTGCTGTCACACAGAGTTAAAGTTTAGGATTGCTTCTCAGCTGGAAGGTGAAGGGTAAAGGCAGTGACTTTCAGCAGAGACTGAATGTCTGCTGGTTGCTTCAGAAACTTCTGAAGGTTGTGAAATCCTCCTAAATCTGCCACGACTGTCATATTTCAAAAAAAAAATACTATGTCAGGGAACTTTAGATAGGATAGAAATGATATGTGACAGCTTTAACCCAACACTTTTTTTCGTCAAATCCCGTCTGAATACTATAAGTATTTACTTGAATATAAGCCATTTCGAGAAAACGGGAGCTCGACACATTTCTTACCGCAGCTTGGCTACGTTCTTCTTTTTCTTGTAATTGGTGAGGATCTCCCAGGTGGCGTTGCCGAGGGTCAGGGGGTCCTCACCGTGGAACGTCACTCCGTGACCAAAGCTTTTGGAGTCCTTGTATGCCGAGAGCTGACCCGGCTTCAGTACGCAGTACAGATTGTTCCAGGACCTGAAAGTGAAAGAGACGAAGCGATGAAGATCCTGACGGGATTATTTCAGGCTATAACACAGAGTTATAGTTTTGCTGATGTTCGACCACAGAAACCGGCTCGTTAAAACTTCCTCTGTAGTTTAAAGGTTGTGTTGGCAGATTGTAATGACATGTCTAGATCGTCTTTGGCTCCTTTATTAGTGAACTGAAAATGGATTTCACGTTTTATTTATTTTTATGAAGCCAGACTGCAGGAAGTTTTGACCTGTTCATTTGTTTCTTTTCTTCCGTCTTGAGAAACCTAAACCATCAGAGCCCAAACGTTTTCTCTGGCATGCAGCCGTTGAGTTAGTCTCCTCTTTATCATTTGGAGGGACTTTGCAGACTTTCACTGAATTATTTCCAACATAATTGGATGTAATTCTTGTGTTTTTGACGAGCTATTTATTATTCATGTATTCACATTTATGAACAAATGTGGCTCTCGCTGTGCCAGCGCCATAATTGGATGCTGGATCCACACGTAATGAGGGATGAAACCTTTTGACAAAAGTTAAACAAGACACTAACATCCCGACATGTTACGTGTTGCACATCCCTTTAAATTACTTTGTTCTTTCTACACACAGTAGGCATGTTTCAGTACCAATTATCTATTGAAATGTACAGTTCCAATTAGAGGCATGAACTCATTATTGCCCTGAATAGCATATTTTGGCCCTTTAATGACACATTTGAAATGTTTTTTCTGCACCGTGCGATGTTTATGCAACGTTCAGCTACGTTAATGGGTAAACAAGCTTTAAATTATTGGCAATTTTCGCTAATCCACACTTCAAACCGTACATACAGGATCACCACCACTAATATTTGGAGAAATGTCTTTCTTGTGATGTTGCAAAGAAACCTCAGACTATTTGCTGCTCTCGGCAATTCTCTGGAATGCGTCTGGCTGGGTTTTTGAGACAAAACTTTTATCAGAAATGGTAGATTTAATGTAAATCAGTTGGATTACCTGCAGGAATCCAGCTTTCATGCATAACCTTTTTTCTTTTTTTTAACAGAGCTGAAGTCGAGGCCATTTTAGAAGGCTAACATTAGCCTCTTTAAGCTATTCTAAAACCAGTTATGACCATTTAACTTTTGATTTGAGATGGAAAATTTGAAAGATGTTCTCCACGGTTAGTGATTTATTCACTTCATGGCATGCACCACCAGCACTGGCAGGAAAACAGGCCCTCAGCACGATGCTGACGTTACATTTCAAAGCTACCAACTTCAGCCTTACTGAAAATTTGACAACTTTTGTCTACGTTGATGCTGAGTTGATGTCAGGAAACCCAATCATGCTGTCCAGACGCTCCTGAGGAGCATTGAACCAATTATTAGCAGAGGTGTTGTATCTATTTGAGCCTGAATGGATAACTTTGAGAAAATCTGCAAAAAATCCAAACAAGTTCAATGTCATGTGATCATTTTACATAGAAAAATTATACTTTTTTTTTAAGTCAAAATGTATTATTGATGCTCATGACGAAGGGTGTGGATTTCTTGGCGGTGCCCGACCTGTTTGAAGCCTTCTTTCCGGAGCCTTCCACGTCATGCTTGCGGCAGAGCATGCCCTCCTGCAGCACTGCCTGCGACCTCTGGGTCTCTGACGGCATGGTGGCCGCCCTCTCTGGTTCTCTGGGAGTCACAACCGAGACAGAGGGCTCCAGCTCCAGAGAGGCGCTCTCTCTCATTTCTGACACCATCGGCATCGTGGAGTCACCAGCAGTCCCGTCCAGCTGACCTGAGCTGGGCTCCATCGCACCAGACTGGAGCAGGAAAAAAAATACTTTCGATCTTAATGCATAAAAAAAAGAAGGCTATTTAAAAAATAGTTATTAAAATAGGCAATGGAAAAAAGGGGCTTTGTTGCTAACCAGGGCTTGTTCCTCAATAGTGTAGAGTTGTGAAGATTCTTCTACGAAGCCTGTGTCTTCTCTCCTGAGCAGAAAAAAAGAAAACGGAGAAAGAGAAACGCTGTGTTCTTATTATTAGTTTTAAGTTCAGCAGAACCACCAGAAAGAACAAAACCAACATCGCTTTAGACATTACACACTTTCATGTAGAGGTAAAAAAAGAAAAAAAAATGCTAGTAGTTTTGAGTGTTTCTACACACTTGATAGTTTCGGCATGTTTTTACCTGCTTTCTTTATCTGAGCGCTGCTCGTCCTTGATGAATTGCTCAATCTCCTGTTGCTGCTTCCTCACTTCCAGCAACTCCAACTGCAACACAGCAACCTGTTGTCATCTTCACTGACATTTTAAATAACAAAACTATTTCTGAAGCTATTGTGCAGGGTTGTACATTTTTCCTTTATTTACACCCAGACCACTGTGGAAATAATCAGCTTTAAATTGATAGTGAACTTCTGTGTTTAGACTTTAGATTGTGCAGTAAGTGGCACACAAAAACAAAATAAAAATTTAACACAAAAAATGAGAAAGGAAACACTTGGCTGAATTCATCCTTAGCTTTTCAGCCACAGAATAAGTGCGTAGTGTTTTTAAAACCAAATTGCATAAGGAATTTAGCGTACCGTAGTGAGGCGCTCCAGAGCTGAGAAGCGTTCCTCCCATGTGGCGGTGGATTTCTCAAAGGCTTCGTGCCTCTTGAGGAGTTTCTCCACCTCGTCCACGCTCTGGCCCAGGTCCCTGCTGGTCACGTAGGGCTCCTGAGCGATGAGCCAGGCCTCTGCCACCGAAGCGTCTCGTGCAAACTGACACACCTCCAGCACTGAGAGCATTAAAGGGAATATTTTTATGGCTCACTTTTTGATGAAGCGGATGCTCATGCTGCTCCGTCGTTAAGTCGGGGATCGGGGGAGTGCATTACTCACAGAGTCGGAGCCAGTCCCATCTGTCGTCCCATTTGAACATCATTTCCTGCCTTTTCTCCATCAGCTGAACCAGCTTCTCTTTGATCTGACACAAAATGTTTTACAGTCTCAGTTACATATCAGCCTTACTTAAAAAAAAAAAAAAAAAACTCCCCTCAAAACTTCCTATTATACTCTAAGAATTAGCATTGTGAAGTAATTAACTGAACACTCAATTCGGGCAAGGGTCAATTGCTTATTTAAATTCCTTTTGCCTTTATCCATTTCTAATTAGTGTTTGCTTTTCTAACCTCCCTGGTGAATATAGGACGACTTTAATTTTTTTTTTCTTTTTCAGGTAACCCAGTTTGTTTGGGGATAATTGTTCCGAGAAAAGTAATTAAATCTAACGCAAACAGCAGAAAAGGAGCCTTCTTGAAGCACATTCTTACTTCAGCAGAGTCTCGGTGCTTGCGTGTCAGCATGGACTTGCCGAGGTCTATGCAGTCCGTGAACTTGGGGCTCCTGGTTTCGATTTCTGAACGGATCCCCTGGTGGTACTTCTGCAGCAGCTCCACGGAGGAGACGTCCCTAATGAAGGAGAAGGAGAAATGTAGGAGCGAATAATGCATGAAACCTTTCTACCTCTGTTGGTAGGAAAAGGAACTGCACACTCAGTACCTCTGATCAGTGCACTGTGCTTTATCTAAGGAATTACATTCTGAAATTGCTGCATCTTTGATAAACTATGCATAAATGCCTGGGGGTTAGTTAAACCTTTGTTACACTTTATTCCACATTTGACTCACAAAAACTAGAGTGAATAACCAAATACAGAGCTAAAAAGGGCAAATATAACAAAAAAAAAAAAACAGAAAAAGCTGAATTTTTAAAATTAAGAAAAGAAACCCAAACTTCTTACATTTCACTAATTATGTTCTGCTTACATACAAAATCACATCCAAAAGGAAAAATAAACTTTCTTTAACATTATGGACGTTTTGAACGGTGCACACCTGGGTTTCTCCTGAGTCTCTATCTGCTGGATGATGCTCTCCATCCAGGCCATCAGGTCTCGCACCATGCTGAAGAAGCGGAACTTCTCGGCCGTGTCCACCAGCTCCGCCCGCCGGCCGTCGGACGCGTCCAGCAGGCCCTTCCAGGCTTCGATGACCTCCCTCTCCATGGCCTGGATGGCGTCCTGTTTGTCGCCCGCATACTGAGCTCGAAGCCTTAAGGCCGTCTCCTGGAACTGTTGCACCTAGAGAGAAGGACACAGCAGTTAATAACGGCCTCGTTAATGTCGTTTTAATGAGTCATGATAATGTGGTTTTTTTCTCAAAAATGCGGCGGTGATGAAAGGTTTGCATACGCTCATCACGGGCGTGATTATCATGTTAATTTATGATGAGGCAACCTTCATGGCATTTTAAAAACAAGTTTTGATTTATTGTGGATTTTCTTTGGTCTAAAGTATACATATTTACATTCACAAATATCTAAATAAATGGTACAGACTAAGCTTTTAAAGATGCTCTATTGTCTAATAGTGCTGAGGTGCAGATCATGTCAGAATCCTAATATTTCCCTGTTTCCTTTGTTTAGACCAGTTCTAAACCAGGATGTCCTGCTGTATAACACAGTATTCTGCCTGGGTTTTTACCATCAAACCTCACTTTCTGTAAAATGTGAGGCTTTCAAACTTAAGAACACTGTTGTTATACATGGCGATGGCAGCATCATGCTGTGGGGCTTCCTGACAGTGATGAAATAATGTAGGAGAAGGGCAGTCTTTAAAATGATTAGTGCACATAAACTTATCAGTCCTGTATTTCAAATGCTTATAGCTTTGTGTCCATTGCTAATTTACTCTTCAGAGGTTTTACTGTATTAATAAGACAGTTATTAAAAGTTTAACAAAGAAAACATTGCTGGCAGACTTCGCCTATCTATCTTCTCTGTCATCATTTCAACCAAAACAAGAGCTGAAAGGCACTCAGAACCATTTTACCTTCTAAATCATTCATATAAATATACTGGACCTCAATAATTGCATTTAAAAATTTCGTGAGTTGCATCGTTTCCTTGCTAAAGAAAAACCAAATAAAAGAAACCCTGCCTCATTAACCTCTCACCTTCCATGGTTGCAGACATATTACAGCACTCTCTGGCCGCATCAGACACAAATCATCAAAGTGCGTGTCTCGGCCGCCGCCTGCTGTGTTCCTTCAGAGCAGAAGAGCCGATCGCTTGTGTTCTACCTGTTTGCCCAGGGCGGTGATGTCTCTCTCGAAAGCAGCGTGCATCCTGTGGAAGGACTCGGCTTTGCTGAAATCGTCTCCCACGTCCTCTGGCAGCTCTTTCTGCTTCTCGTGGATCTGCGTCACCAACTCCTTTCCGTCATCAAAGTACCTTCGAGAAGAATGGGCTCTTAGTATCACTGCATTCATCATGACCGTGACATCTGTGAGATGTAGGCAGCAAGTTAATGTTTTCTCAGCGATGCTACTGCATGCAAATTGGGGCTTTAAATGATGACTATTTTAGTTATCAACTAATCTATCGATTATTCTGATAATTAATCGATTAATTAGATATAAAAAGATCACTCTAAGAGTGAAGGTGAAGCTAAATTTGAACATATTTGCAGACAAAGTTTTACATTTTATCTTTACTGCAAAATGTATTTGGTATAAGTTTGACTTAGTGTGTTGTTCCATTCAGTAAACAACCTTTTATTTGGAGTCAGTATACTCCAGTTAACCATTAATCAGTTACTAAATTAGTTGATGATTATTTCAGTAATTGAATCACCACGATCAATCCAATTAATTGTTTCAATCCCACTGCAAATGTTTTCTGTTCTGACAGCATTCCTTTTACGGATTCATTTTGTGTTACATTACAACCACAAACTTCTGAGTATTTTATGGGAAGGCGGTAAGATGCGTTCCACGTACTTGAGGAGGTCGTAAGACGCCGTGAGGAGCTGAGATCGAGTGTCGATGAGCTCCAGCAGGTCAGCCCAGCTCTCGTTTATGCCGTCCTTCCACTCTGCCAGGGTGGCCGCTTCGCTGTGGCCCGTTTCAATCAGCTCGTCTATGGTCTGGTTCACCATGTCCACCCGATCCTGACCCATCATCCCCGTGTCCCGCGTAAACTCTCTGAATTTATCCCTCAGGAGCTGAGGAGCAAACAAAAAAAAATCACTAAAAACCTTCCTTAAGGACAGAGACGATCATGCTCAACAGAAATGTTTCATGTTTTTGGTTATTTCTCCCTCAGTTTCTGCTTGTGATACCGTGACGTGGTCCAGGTCCTGTCCCATCTCCTGTGAGGACGCCACCACGTCTTTCTCTGCAATCCAGTGTTCCAGGTCCTCCACCTCTCTGCTCAGCAGGAAGTGATGGTAGGTGTGGTTCAGCTTCTTCCTGCGGTCCTCTGCCAGCTCCTTCAGGCCTGCGTACTGCTTATCTACTTGACCCTGCCGCCTTATGACCTCCTCCCTGAAAGATAACGAAGGCAGAGGGTGGAAGGAAATTAGATTCAGAGACTTAAAACCCAGGTCAAGAGATCACAATTTGGTTAACTCTAGATGAAGCTGCTGATTAAGACACACGTTTACATGCTTGTCACTCCTGTCAGCCTAAACCACATCTGATGGGGATAGAGTAAATTAGGACCACTATGCAGAGTTCAAGCACGCACCCGTCGGGATGGTCCTCTGCGAGCATCTTCTGCGCGCGATCGGAAAGCTTCTGGATGGAGGCGGCGTAGTCGTCCACTGCCTGTTTCAGGATCAGGTGGCGCTTCAGCATCAGCATGGCGCTCTGCTCATCCTGGAGGGACGAGAGAGAAAACAGGAGGATGGTGAAGAAACAGACGGGAGAGGAGCGCACCCATCAAAGCAAAACAAATTACTTCAAAATTAGCTCTCCATAGAGGGTGCCACTTAAAAAAAAAGAAAAAAAGAAAGCGGATCCTTTTAACTGAAGAGAACCCAAACCATGTAATCATGTTGATAAATTAATTACTTGCTATTTGAACAGACTGATATGCCTTTACTTTGATTAGGATAATAAGATCAGATTTTTAAATATGTTTGGAAACTTCCCTGAGCTAATCAGGCCCCTTCTCTTGTCTCCCTTACACACACACACAGCATGCCTTCCTCTCCTACTAACCTTCGCCTTTTCATCCGCAATCATGTAGAGCTCCTGCTCTCCTATCCAGGCCTCGGCCTCATCAGCATCGTTGTAATACTGCTGGGCCAAGTTGGAGCCGCTCAGCCTCTCCCGCCGTTTGGCCATCTCGTCCTGCAGCCGGGCCCACGCCTCCTCCAGCTCCTGCATCTGGTCCCCGATCCGCTCCGCCTCCGGCCTGTCCTCCGCGCTGGCCGCAGCCGCCATCCGCCTGCCTCGCTCCAGCACCTCGTCGACACGAGGCTGGTGGCCCTCGATCTCCCTCTGCAGCGTCTGGTGGAAAGAAAGAAAGGAAGACAGCAAATGTACGTCGTTTCACTGGAAACTAATACTGTGAGTTCACTCAGACAGAAACAGGAAAGTCAGTGGAGCTGAAAGAACTGAAAATCCCAGCAGCTTTTAGCGGCTGGAAAAAGAATATATATTGTTTTCTTTGCATAGTAAAACTTTTTGAACTTAAAATTTGAAGGGCACTAGCTTGCACAACTTGGAAATATATATATAAAAAACATTAATATTTATAAATTGTATTACTTGGTGAACCACAAACTTCTATGTAATTTTTTAGGACATGTGACAGACCAACACACTGCAGTGCATGAATGCTAAGCAGAAGGAAAATTATGGTGAATATAAGCTGTAAAGTTTGCCTCTGATCTGGAAAAGTAGCACTGAAAACATAGTGGTGGCAGTATCATGCTGGGGATCTTTTTTTCAACACAGAGAGAGAAATGGATCAGAGTAGATGAGAGGACAGCTCACCCTGACTACAAGACCAGAGTGAACTCTGGGAATTTTAGAGTATGAACTCCTTAGAAAAATAGCTTGTCAAAAAAGTCAGCAAGTCTGACTATTTTATCCCCTAAATTATAGTTTCTGACTTATATTGGCGCTGTAAATAAAAACATTTGTTGTAAATTTGTTTTCCTTTGCTAAAAATGGATGTAAATTGACAATCTTAGTCTTCAAACTATTTCTAAAAGTGGAAAATACCTTCCAACATTGACAAACAGAAAAGTGTTGGAACTATTTTTTTAGGTTGAGTAGATAAATGAAATTTCTAGCATTTATTTAGTAAACCTGATAAATAATCTTTTTTAAAGGTTGAAACAGGTATTGCAGCAAAAATGGTTGCTCAGATGATAAAAATTGCTGAACTTTGATGACATAAAAATGTAATACAATATATTTTGATTAAATTAAAAAATTATTATATTTAACTTACATTTCATTTTTTTAAGTAATCATAAAACTTAATATAATATAGTAAAAATTAAGTTTATTGTTGTAAGACAAAAAAATGTGGAAAAGTTTTAACTTTTGCAAGGCCATGACTGTAAATTCAAAATTTGAAGGGCTTCCCAGCATTAACTGATAAATGAGTAAATAAACGAGGACAAAGCTGTTTGCAGCAAAACGAATCCTGACAGACTGGTTCTTACCTGGTTCTTTTTCAACAGCATCTGCACAGTTTGAAGATTGTTGCCGTGCTCCTGTGACATTGCCAGGGGCATCCTCTCCTCAATCCAGAGCTGAAACACACAAAAGGAAAAAGAGGGGGGAAAAGATTGTGATGATAAGAACACAAAGCAGAAACAGAGTCTGAAAAATTGCTTCACAGATCTCTGATGTGCACCAAATATAAAATATTATATCCACAGCTGCCTTCTTTATATGGATTTGTTGCTCCTTCACAAAGCAAATCAAACATGATACCTTGACTTTGCTATAAACAACAAAAGGAGATCAGATTTAATATATATATATATATATATGTGTGTGTGTGTGTGTGTGTGTGTGTGTGTCTTAAAGACTAAATACTTGTTTAAAATTTCTTTAAATGATCAGGTTTCTTAGATGCATTAAGCTACCTCAGTGCATCTGGATACATCCAGAGGGGACTTAAAAGTCCTGACAAGTTAGGATCGTATCCTCATTATTCAAATTCTGCGCTATCAATCATTTTGTGAGAGCGAGGCGCTTCGACTCCTCCATTCCCTCTGAAATAAGATCCGCACTTACGAGCTCGTCAGCCAGGTCTCTGTAAAACTGATGGACGGCTTTGGCAGCCTCCAGCTTGCCTCGGCGGTGGGACAGCGGCGTGAGGAGCTGCTGGAACTCGCTCTGCAGGGCTTGCTGCTCGGCCTCCAGCTCCGGCTGGTCCTCCCTGGCTCCTCCATGCTTCCTGACAGCCTCCTGGAGCTCGTCCAGCTCCCGCGCCCGGTCACGAACCTGGTTCTCCGTCATCTGGCATGGGAAAAACGGTGATGGGAGGAAGAAAGAAAAAGATGAATAGCCTTTCAAGAGCCTAATCAAGATGCAGTGGAGGGTAAATTCACCAAAAGTAAGTGCTGCCTATTAAGCGTGAAACTAAGCTTACCCACAGCTCTTATGAATGTTCTTATATAAATTCATGAAAAGGTTTTGCTAAAGGCAATTTAGTAAGTATAATTTGTGTTTTAGCTTGACCCTTGGGACAAATATATTTTGTCTTCTTAAAAAAAGCAAATAAACACAATGTTCATTCGCTTAAAACAGATTAAAATTAAAGCTTAAACTGAACAGTATTCTCCAGACTTTGCAATTTTAAATGCTAGCATCAAGAAAACAAATCTCCCAAAAGAAACAACTAATAACAAGAAAGAAAAAAACTTTTTTTTTTCTGAGGAATACACAAACCTGGTGCTTTTTCAGCAGGATATTGGCATTTGTGAGATCTTTCACATCCTCATCTCCGCTCTGCAACTGCTGCTGAAGCTCGGCCAGCCACTTCTTCATATCAGCCAGGCTCTGGTCGAACAGCTCTGAGCGATTGGCATCGAACAGCAGCCGGTCCTTCTCCTGAGTCGTGGACTCCAGTTTGTCCCAGAGCTCGTGAAGCTGGGCCAGGCGCTCCTTCACAATGGGCTCAAACTCAGGCTTGGATTCCATGAGCTCCTGACCCTCCTGCAGAAACGAAAGAATGAACAGAGAAAAGACTCGCTCTCAAATACTTCAGAGCAGAAATCCACTGCAAATTAGGTATTTTATTTATCTTTTTAGATGAATAAAACTGTTTAATTAAAAAACAAGGACCATTTACTGACCTGATCTACTTTATTGAGCCAGTCCTTATTGGAGGCCAGCTCCGCCATGAAAGCCTGGTGTTTGAGCCACTTGCTGTGAAGGTTTCTGGCCTCGTCGTATGAGGTATCCTGAGCTGTCAGCATCTTTTCATTGATCCACACAGTCAGCTGAGGCATGGCGACAAATAAAGAACATTACGCATTAATAATGCATCTTCTGAGAAAAATAATCCTGGTCCTACATAATGAAGATAAGTTATATTTATTATACAGCCCTCTGCACTGAACCCCATTGAAAACCTCATGGTTTTTCCACCAAATATTGATTTCAAAACTGAGTTAAAACATTAGTATTGTTGTTTCTAAATGAATATGAACTTGTTTTCTTTGCATTAGTTGAGGTCTGAAAGCACTGCATCTTTTCTTGTTATTTTGACCATTTCTCATTTTCTGCAAATAAATAAAACATTTTTTGCTTGGAATTTTGTAGTCATGTTGTCATTAATTCATAGAATAAAGGAACGATGTTCATTTTACTCAAACACATGCCTATAGACAGTAAAATCAGATAAATGTATCATTTTAAGTGGTCTATAAATGACCACTATGATCAAATGTTACTGTATAGTAATAACCTAATAATAGCCTAGTAACACTAAGGACATAGAAAGCAAACACACAGCTAATAAATAAGGTATTATTAGATCTTTTTCACAGATTGTATTGAACTCACATCTTGAGTGTTTTGCAGAAAGTGCTGAAGGTCACGGTTATCTCTCAGCTTTTCAGACACCTCCACAGCTCGTCTCTTATTCTTGCTTTGCCTGAAGCGCGAGCACAAAAGCAAAGTTATACCATACATGAATAACAGCTTCAGACAGAGCTGGCCTTTTATTCTCCGTCTAACAAATCTCTCTGTGACATAATTCGGACTGCACACTGTAGACAAATCCACCAGATCTTCCCCTTCACTTCATGTCTTTCTTCACTTCACCGAAAAGAAAAGCTCTCTCTGTTAAAGATCAATATCCATTATTGTAGGTGCCTGTCTATCAAGCTGAGTATTGGGAGAGAAGGCGGTAGCTCCAATGCCCTTTCTAAAGCTAATAATGCAGAGGATAGAAAAAAAATTCACAGTTGTGGCAAATCTCTGAAGGGAATGAGAAGTTATTTCTGTGTACGCTTACATTTTCAGCCTAAAATTAAAGCTTTAGAAAATGTGTTAATGTCTTACATTTCAGTCTTACTAATTCATAGAACAATTCATCACTATATAACATTTATGAAGCAGGAATACCAATTGTAATTGCACTGTATTTTTTGCTTTTCATGCACCCTGGCGACATGTTCACAAAACGAGGCTAAAGAACATGTTGCACTTCGAACAATTTGTGCAATTTTCACTACATTTTAAGAGAAAGACGACTGCTGGACTTTGAATTTGTGTAAATCTTTCCAGTTACAAATTTGAAAGTTGTAACTTCTGGGAACCAGTATGTGTGAATATCCTTTGTCATTGTTTTTAAGGTATAGCAACCTGAAAAGGTCACGATCTTGCCGCAGCTGTTTTAAAAGTCAAGACAGACACTTGGGAAAAATAGATATATTCTGACCTGGTACTTGTTATGAAAAGTTTCCCTTATGCCATCGTTTGACTGACCTTCACACCAATGAACAAATTAAACTACATATAAACATAAATTCCTGTTTTACAAATTGGATAACATGTGTCTCTGTTCAGTTGTGGTCATATTAATTGAGGGTGTGTCAGGATTTAAATCCCACACCTATCACACGGTTAAAAACTGGGTTTCACGACGTCTTATAGAGGATATATTGAATGTGTTTGCACTCAAATCCAAATACTAAATCACACATTGTCATTTCACAAACTCAAGTGAAACAAAACACAACCTGTCCCGGACTGAGTCCATTTTCTCCTGAACTTTGGGAGAGTGCAAGTTGTTACTGTCCACCAGCCGCTGCCCGCCCTGAAGGGCGCCATCGATCTTATCTTCGTTGGCTTCCATCGTGCTGACGAAGTCTTCATGCTTCTTCAAAGCCTTTTCTGCCCCTGCCAACGTGTCGGGCTTGTCTATGTGGGCCAGCGTGTACTCCTGCAATAAAACAGACATCATGGAATTAAGAAAAAGCGCTGAGAACATGAAAACGGACTGTCCAGAAACCCGTAATCTGCTGACTGAGTTACATGGCGAATGTGCAGCGTTGGAGCTGATAGTGCTGCATTCTTCCACTCATTGTTATTGCAGAATTCCTGCAGCATCGCTCACGTCAGGTTTTCAAGCTGTTTTTGTTGGCTTGGCCCTCTACTTAGTCCAAAAGACATCATTAGGAGAAGCTTACCTGATTATTTAGGATGGCCTCTACAGCTTTGCCGTCCCTCAAGAACTGCTGGAAGCCCAAACCCTGGTCCAGGAAATTTCTACGACTGTCCCACATCTTCTGGAGCTCATACCAGCCGCGGTCCAGCCCTTTTAGCCTCTGCTCCAGCTGCTGGTACTGAGGATCATCTTCCTGACCCTGGGTGACCTGAGCTCCTGTGTCCCTCACACGGTGATAGTCCTCTTCATGGTTGTTTATGTCTTCTCGCACAGCGTTGTGACGGCTGAGCAACTCTTCGGCCTCCTGCAGGGAGGTGGGCATCTCCTCAGATGCCACAGCTTTCTGGGTTTTGAACAGCCAGGACTGGAAGTCATCCATGTCTTGGAGGAAAGTCTGTAACTTACTGACCTCGCCTAGAGAGTCCTCCCTGTCCTTCAGGGTCTTTCTAAGTCTATCCCAGGCTGCATCGAGCTCCGCCCTGCGGGCTAAGATATCTGCTGCGTTCTCCGGGTGGTCCTGGGCCAGCTGGTTTGCCTCTTCGTTAAGGAAGGTGAGCTTGGCCTCGATAGCTGCTAAGTCTCTCTCCATGCCAAACAGTTTCCTCTGGATTGTCATGACAGCTGCCAGGTCGTTGCCCAGATCCTGCGTGGACTCGATCACCCGTGTCTTTTCTTTGATCCAGGTTCCTGTCTCATCACACTCCAACCCATAGTTGTGTAGACTAACAGCAGAATCGACTCTCCTTTTCTTGTCCTCCACCATAGCCTTGAATGCTTCCCATCTGGAAAGAAATAATTCATTAAAAGCTTAATTCACTAAGCTTATTCATTTATAAGCTGAGAAAAATGTAATGTACTATTCTATGGATATTTAATTTTCTCAGCCTTATCTGATAGCAATGACCTAAAACACAAGAATTTAGTAAAGCAACTTTATTTATAAAATCAACTTATAAAACTTATGCCGACAAAACGATAAATTTAATGTCTCAACGTCACTGTAGTTGAAAGTCCTTGTTCATGAGATGTCAAGTAAATTCTAGAGTAATTGGTGCTTTCTCTGGCCTTGTAGAACACAAAGAAATGTATTGTCCCTCCCCAACCTGTTGCTGCATGCTGCCAGTAAGGCAATCTTATGAAAAACAGTCTGTTTTTTTATTAATTTCATGTGGTGCTGGTGGCCATACTCGGTGGGACAAAATGCAAAGTTGTGGACTGCTACACTAAGCATCATCCCTTGCTGGACAAACATCCACCTGCATGGATGTTTGTCCAGTGTGTCTCTTGCAACCTGTCTGGGATGTACCTTTTATTCAGTCGCATCTGGCATTCCTTGATCTCTTTAGTGCGAGGGTGTCTGCTCTCCTCAAGCTGTTTTGCAGCTTTGTTGACGTCATCTACTCTCGACTGAACATTCACCATTTCTTGAGCCAGAGCGCTTAACCTGCAAACGAGAAAATTGTTAGTTAGAATAAAAACAGCGGTCAACGTGATGCAGAAAATTACAGCCGATTAGGTTAGTTTAGACGAACGATCTCTACCTGTTCTGTACCACTTCCAAATCCTCCAGGTTCTCGGGAACCTCTAAATCCACCAGCCACGTCTCCTTCATGCTCATCCAGAGCTCACAAGCGTCCGTCTCACTGAAGATGGTGTACAGGGCCATGGTGTCATCCAGTTTCTTCTGCCTCAGGTCAGCCAGAGTCAGGAGCTCCATGTAAAGGTCCTTGATGTCTTTTAGACGTCTCTGGATGCCAGGGGTGTTTTGTAGCTCCTCTGGCAGAGCGCTGGCCTGTTTGGACAGCGCATCGATGGTGGCTCCGTTCTTGATGGCTTCGTTTCTCAAGTTGTTCTGGTTTTTCAGTAGTCGCTGAGTCGTGTACTCATCGTGACCGACGTCGTCGCTGCTCATCTGCCTCTTGGCGTCCAGCAGCCAGGCTTTAAGCTCGTCCGCATCGCCCTGAAACTGGAAGAACGTTTGGGTATCCCGAAGGTTCTGCTTTCGAAAGGCAGCCAGGTCCTCCAGCTGCTGCCACTGCCTCCTGATGTCGTCCATGCACTCCTGGATCTTCGGAGAGCCGAAGTGCTTGGCCTGGATCATCTTATCCCCTTCAGCCAAGACCTGCTGCAGGTTGCTGCGGCGAGCTCCGAGCTCGTCCTCGAAGGCGCTGTGCTTGCTCTGGAGCACCAGCACGCTCGTCAGGTCCTTGCCGTAATCCAGAGAGGAGAAGAGCTGCTCTTTCTCTCTGATCCAGCTCTCCAGCTCCGCCACCTCCCACAGGACGTTCCAGAACCGGCGGGACTGCTCCAGCCGAGCTCTTCTCTGTGCGGCCAGGGCGCAAAGCTCCTGGTAGCAGAGGTTGAGGTGCTGCACCCTGTCTCGAATCACTTGAGGATCGCATGGCTTATAGCCTGGAAAGAGAAAGTATGTTTTTATTTTCTTTGAGGTTTGACTCTTTACCTAAGGATTATATCCCACTGTAAGCCATATAAATCGTTAAAATATATTTGATATAAAATATTTAAACTATGGTTATATATCTATTAATATTAGAATAATTAGAAGACCTGAGAACAAGATTAACCCTAACCCTACCCCAACACAAAATTCACATCTGTAATATACTCTGCTTCATTTAAAATCTCTAATCAATGCACCACGTTTAATGTTTTTTTTTTTTTTTTAAGTTTCCCAGAGGAGCAATGAGTGTGTTCCACTTACTATCTCCGTTTGCAAACTTCAGAGCAGCAGCACTGGCACTCTGTACCCTCTCTGCCTGCAGGGCGATGTCGTTCTCTAGCAGAGCGTGTTTTTGAAGCAAGTCCTCCACCTCTAACAAGTGTTTCCCAAAGTCAGGAGAGAGCAGTCGTGCCTGAGGAGAGGCTTTTGAATTAGGTTTCTTCTTGAAATGTTAATGTTTTTTTTTTTTTTCTTTCAAGTCAGTACACATGATTTTTACCTTCATTTCATCCATCCAACTGATGATGTAGAGCATCTCCTGGAAGATCCTCTGCAGGGTGAGGTTCATATCCAGACGCCCTCTGCGGGCCCTCAGCAGCTCTTGCAAGTAGTCCCACAGACGCAGGATATTGTCTTTTCGCACGTCGATCCGCTTGGCGTCGTGGTAACGCTCAGACTCCAGCTCCTTGGAGATGTTCACCAGCGCCTGGACGCGCTCCTCATATGCGGTGATGTCCGTCTCGATGGCGTCGTGCTTCTTCTTAGCTGCTTCCACGGCTGGCAGGTCGTAGCCAAAGTTATCCTGAGGAGCGTGTGCAGAGCGAAGGTTGATCTGTGTTTTAGTTTTACGTGTGGCTCAGTTCGACGGGCTTTGACGTAACCCGACAATGAATTTTCAGTTTTGTTTTCCATATCTCTATATGTTTTAACCTCAACCTGTTTTTGAAGCTTAAATAAAACAGAAACACATTTAAAACCAGCTCTCGGTTCACAGCAGTCGGCTGACCTGAGCCACTAGTCTTTGGTTCTCCAGGAGCCACGTTTCCCTCATGGCCGCCTTCCTGTCGAATCTTCGCGCCATCTGTTCCAGCTTCTCCTGCCGGATCAGCTCGTCCCTCAGGACCCGTTCCCGCTCGTGCTCCGCCCTTTCCAGACGCTCCCAGGCCTGCGATGGGGATGATGAGAAGCATCCTGAGTCTTTGTAGTGTTTGTGAGCCTTGTCGTTTTAGCGTCAACAGCACTGGGATGTGTGAGGTGTTTAAAAAATTTAGATGCCCCCTTCTGCTTGATCTCATGCTTGATGAGAAACTCTGATGTTTAAAGGATATCCAGACGGTGCAGAAAGGATGTGTGCCGAGACAAATCTGTGTATTCTTTTGACGTTACACCACGGAAAAGTATTCATAAACATTATTATGACCAGAAACTTGAATGTGTTTCCCGGGAATGTTATATGCTCGTCATCCCTATTATTAAGCACGGTGGTGGCAGCCTGAGTACACGTGTGTGCCACTCTTTTGTTGTTTTATAAGTTGTGCTGCAAAGGATGACTCAAAGTCAAGTTAGATGAACCTGACAGGTCCTACAACCTCTTTTGTATTTATACCAATGTCACTTTTTCTTTGCCAGATTCAAACAACATAATTAAAGTTTTGAAATAAAGATGTGGGGATTCAACACTTAGATTTAAAGAGGCTTCCTATTTTGACCACTTCACTAAAACCTTTCTGGAGTTGCTGGTTTTAATTTGTAAAAGAAGAAGAAAATGAGACCATGTGTAATTTTTCTATCCACTTCACAATTACGTAAGAATTTGTGCAAGTGTATTATGTAAAAATCCTTTTACAAAATAGTAAATTGTTGAGGTTGAAATACAACAACTTGTGAAAATGTTCAAAAGCTACAAAATATGTTTGCAAAGTACTCTAAAGTTCACATGTCACAGTTGGTATTTTATGCCTGGTGAACAATACAATACCGGTAGAGCATCAACGCATTATTCAGGATATTTTATCACAGTGAAAACAGTTCTTTTATTAGCACCTGTGTTTTTTTTTTTCTAACTTCCAAACACAGTGAAACTTTTATTGAGAGATCTCTGTTGAGCATGCCTCTGGTTTGTCCCGGGATGACCTCTCACCCTGTTGATGTCCGACACCAAGGCTCCCTCTTTCGGCGTGTAGACCCTCTGGTTGTTGGCCCTCATGCGACTCTGAATGGTGAAGAGCAGCACCTCCAGATTCCCTTTCTCCTGGAACCTGAGAGAAATTAAACACATTTCAACCACAAGGTGGTTCACAGAGACCGGCACGTATCAAAACAAAAAGAGACGCAAGAACAGAGCGACTGGTTTCAGTGAGGGTTCTTGACTCACTTGGGCGGCTTCTCGACAGTCCGGTACGTGTTGAAGGCCTGAAGCTGCTGCTGGACGCCCGTCAGAGAATTGGCGAGCTTCCTGTTGTTTAGCACGACGATGGTCTGCTCGATCCACGTCAGCAGGTCTGAAGCCAGCGTCTCGTACTTATCGATCATCTTCTCCGTCTCGATAGCTTGATCCAGAACCTGAATAAGGAAGGCAAATATATAAACAAGGCTTTCGTCTTGACAGACTAATGAGTGCCACGTTTCCATCTCACCTTTCCGACTCGCTTTCCCTCGACAGCGAGCTGCTTCATCTTGGAGAAGTAGTGGTAAAATGCCACGACGTACGTGATGATGGATTTTTCATCTGGGTTCTCTGTGAAAACATCTGCAAAACAAAATGCCAAGCGAGTTAATCACCACAGCGAGAGGCGTCACCTCTCCTGAGGTGTTTGTGTAGTCACCAAGATTTATCCTGATAAACATTTAGCTCTACACGGAGGTCTTCACAGCTATCATCGGTCACTCGCCTTCTGGGTCTAACAGCTTGGTCACACCAAGCTTCTGTTCTGCCACATTAAAGGCGTTCTGGAGGTTGTGGGTTGGATTGGACCTCTTCAGTTTGGTGTAGTCCACCAGATCAGGCCTAGCAAAGAGATGAAAGAGGCAAAGAAGACAAGACAAGGCGAGAGATGAAAGAAGAAAATGAGGGGAGACACAGAGCAGGCAGGTTTGGGCTGTGTTTTCATGTAAGCTGGTGAGAGCAGGTTTCATTATTCATCTTTCCTCACCGGTGTTTGTGTATGAGGGCGTTGAAGGCCATTCCGTCTTTCCAGCTCGTGGTGAAGTTTGTGATGTTGACGTTCGGGTATCTGTGAAATAACAGTGATGTGATGGGATGTCACCGGCTGAATATGAAAGGATGTTTCTGCGAAGCTCAAGCTTTAAATCAATGTCTGGGCTCCCGCGTAAAGCGGAGTCTTTCATATCCATACCTTCGAGCCTTGAAGAAAAATACGGTTTTATACAGATCTATTTGTATTTCTCTGTGTGAAGCGCTAGTTTTTGTTATTGCTTTGGAAGTTCAAAACTTGTCCTATTGATCCCCTTTCTTAAACAGAGCAATTACAGTAGTTCACAAAAACTGTGATGCTACAATCCCTTGCTAAAGTGTTCATACCCTTTAATCTTTTTCACATATCCAGATGTTAGAAAACTTAAACGTCAATGTGTTTTAATTGAAAAGTATATGACAGATGATCACAAAATAATCCACAATTGTGAACAAATAAAAAGCTAAAAAATTGGGGTGTATCAATTAAATATACGGCTGTACTTTAACTAGGCCATTGTATTTTTTATTTGTACAGATGTTTTAAAAGCACACTTTATTTTCCTTTCACTATTTTCACCACTTTATTATGCAGGATGTGATCAAATACATAAATATCTGTCTTTGTAATGTAATGGGATAAAAAAAGACTGAAAGTTCAAGAGGCTTGAATACTTTTGTAGTGTAGCATGTACCCTCTTAGCACAATTTAAGAAATGAAAACTCAGAGTTGTGAAACGGTAACAGACGTGCACCTGGCTGCAAACTCCCGATGGATGTTTACAGCAGCTTGGTGATGCTAAAGGCCACGTAAAGTACTTACCCTGCAGTTTTCATCTGACACCACAGAAGAAGAGCATCTTTAGCTGAGTGTGTCTCCTTCTGGTCCGCCTGGCCTGTTTCCACAATAATGTCCTGGATCTGATGTGGAACAGGAAGCACAGATAGATGGTAAATGATAAAACTTAATATTTGATTTTGGGGGGTTTTTTTCAAAGAAAGAAGTAACACAGACAACCGAGAGGACACTGCATCAGGGAATAATTTGTCGCTTTATTCCTTTGGTTTCCTTCTTTGTGTAAAATGAAAGCAAATCTCCAGTGACGTATCATTAATGTTATTAGTCATAAAGGATTGTTACAAAACTCAACAGTGGCTAAGATGGGTGGAAAATAGGTGGTAATGACTGAAGCTCTTTTCCGACACAGTAATTAGAGCAGTGATGTGATACAAGAGACAGGTCCTGAGAGATTGCTAAATTTAGCCAGCTTTGCTTCTCCTTCGCTAATGCAGACTGAAAAATACAGCCTGTTTTTTTCTTTTTTTTACTTATCTTTTGAAAAAGTTGAATAATGTAGAAAGACTTATTGTCTGAACTATCATTTCTAAAAATAGGCATGCTGCTGTCAAATTAAAAATAAATATCTGACTCTCCCCTCCACCCCCTCCTGAATGATAAGAGTGAAAGAGACGTGTGTGATGTGCTTCTAAAGAACAAAAAATACTGGAGCCTGAAGGCATCGTTTCAGAAAGAAATAATCCCAAAACTGCAGGTTTAAACGTTCCTCGCCAATGCCTGCCTGTGGAAGCATCTAAACTAAAACAACAGGAAATGAGACGTGTTTATTGTTGCAGATTGAATATCAATAGTTACTCTAAAGCTTGAGGCTGTCGGGTTTGACTGCAAATAAAGAAAAAAGTGATCTGTGGAATTTTCCAAAGGTTAAATTAAAACACAGATTTTTAATGGTACTTTTAGTGAATGCAGTGGATACATGGTTGGCTAACAACACTCTTTGCAGAAGTCTGCAGAAGAAAGGGTGAAACTACAGCAATTCAAACTTTACGCGTTTGTTTATTCACTTAACTACTGAACACGCAGAGGCACTCAGGATTTACGTAGAATCACTGAGATTCTAGTTTATCCAGGAAAGAAAACAGCCTTGTTTTTTAAACCATTTTAATGATTCACAAGAAATGATGCCCCTGATAAATTGCATCTGTTTGCTCCTCATTAGTTCCTAGACAGACAGATGCTCTGAGCACATATCTGACAGGATCAATGAATTGTTTTGTTGTTGTTGATGATCTGTGGAATACAGCTGTATTCAATAAATTAGAATGTGATCTCAGATTAGGCTCGTTTATCAGATCCAGCTCATTTCTCTGTATTAAAAACGTTTCTTTTATTGCTTCGATGTAATATTCTAATCTTAAATGCCGAGTTTTCGTTAGCTGGAAAAGTATCACAGTTAGCAGAAAAGCTTAAATGTCATGTGTTTCACTTTGTGAAATGACTAACTGAAATCAATGAACTTTTAATTATTTCTAATTTATTGAACGTGATCGTAGTTTTTTTTCAAATAATCAGTCTCACAGCACAGTCTATCCTCTAGGTGTCGCCAACGAGGCCAATATGTTTAGAAATGTGGGATCTGCCATGGCGTTTCACCAATAAGGGTTATCAGTTTATTACTGATACATCTGAATGTTTGTGTGGAAAACAGAGTAAGCCGTGTTTTTAAGTGCATGTACCCTTTACACATGAGGCAGACAGGATGACTACATTCTGCATCTTTTTAGATGTCGCAGCCTCGGTTTACCTGGAAACGCAGGATGATGGTCCAAATGAGCCCAAGTATGAGGCGGTGGTTGCCGTCGACGATGTCATGGGACCCCATGTTCTCTAGGTGTACCCTCTGCTCTTTGAGAAACTGCAAGGCCTTGTCCACATTTTCCAAACAGTGGATGCGCATCCGGCCTTTAGTGGGCTTCGGCTGCGAAGGAAACGAGGAAGAAAGAGAGAACAGGAATTTTTGAAAGAAAAGACATCCTGAATGAGCTGCAAATAACATTAAACTTTCACGACAATAAAGTCAAAGCTGAGACAGCATAACTCACCAGACGTTCTCCAGACAGGACCTCCAGCAGTTTAATGAGCATGCGTCCGTCACGAAGGTCCAGGTAGAGGTCAGAGATGCGACAGCCGACTCGGGAAAGGATCGAGTTGACCCATTTAGTAAAGGTCTTCTTTTGAACTGCCTCGCGCTCATCTGGAGAGGGAACATAGTTTAAGAAAGAACATGAGCCCCATGAATAATGCACTGCCCTCACGGCTGCAGAGCAGCATCACTGAAGCTGGTAGGGATTTACTGTCTCTAACAAGGGCTCTTCAAACCGAAGACATGGCTGTGCATGCTAGTGTTTGTCTGAGGAGAGCTCTTACTGAGTAAATTAATGTGCTGTTAAAAAAAATATTAACCTTATTCTTATTCTACAATGCCTTCTAAATGTTTTCATACCCCTTTGACTTTGTTGCATGGTGCAACATTACAACCCCGAGCTTCTGTATTTTGCACAGTCAATACTTTTGTTGCAGTTATGGTTGTTAGCCATTTGGAATATGTCTGTCTCAACTTTTCACATCTAAAACTGAAAGTTTGTCCATTCTTCTTTGCAAAATAGCAAAAGCACAGTGGATGAAGAACATCAATGAACATCCATTTTCAAGCTTTGCCACAGAATCTAAACTGCATTTTGTCAGTTCAGCTAGATCTTTCTAACGCTTATACATGCTTGGATCTAAAGTATTCCACTGCAGCTCTGGTTGCTTGTTTAGAGTCGTGTCATCCTGGAAGGTGAACCTTCACCTCAACCCAGAGGTTTTTTAGCCTCTAACAGATGTTCTTCCTTGATTTATTTACATAAATTCACCAGCATTCTTCCAAATGTTTGTTGCTTCCTCTATACGGCCTGTGGCAAACTTCAAAAAGGGACTTCTTATGGCTTTTCTTCAACAATGGTTCTTCTTGCCACTAATTGACAGTTTTGTGGATTGCACAAGTAACAGCTGTCTTGTTCGCAGATTCTCCCACCTGAGCTCTTGACCTCTGCAGCTTCTCCAGAGTTACCAAGTCTCTCTTGGTTGGTTTTTTGATTGTAGTTGTGCTAAAGTCTTGATTATAACCTCACTCCGCTTTAAATGCCTCCACAGTTGTATCCTTGACTTGTCTGCTTTGTTCTTTACAGTTAATGATGACATTTATTAATTTCTGTTAATGAAACAAATATGTTTTATCTGTAGAAAAGCTTAAAAATCCTATATAATGTGCAGAAGTATGCACTATTTTGTAATGTCTTTAGTAAAATACATTAACATTTGTGGCTGCAACTTGGAGAAAAAGGGCAAAGGGTTATAAATATACCTTCAAGGCATATTGCAACAAAAACAAACTGAACCCAACCACATAAACATTACATCAAGTGAGCCAGGTCTGCATCTAGTCAACATATTTCTGTGGCTACCTAAATAACCCAGAGCAAGGTGAACAGAAGGGCAGTGCTGTCTCATTACACTAACCTTGATTTCGCTAACAGCTACTTTAACTGCAGATACACACAGATATTTAAAACTTATTATGTCAGCAACGGGACATTCCCAGCCCCAGTTGTCCCAGCATGCAACACATCAGTTCCCTTTAGTCTCCACATTGAAGGTTGCCCTGTTTGTCTGAACTAAAATAAGGCTGTGGAGAGAACAGGCTATAGCGCAAAGATGCCAGGTATCGTATTCTAGGTTAAGAAGGCGTCAATAAGCAAAGGTGAGACTGAGGAGGAGACATAAACTCTGGATGGAAGTAAACTTGGCAAGAGGAAGAGCTCCCGGGGAGGCAGTCTTTCAGGTTTACTGTGCAGAGACATGGCGCGATAAACAGAACAAAACACATCACCCACAGTATCTCCCCTGCTGTTGCCAAAAAACACCCAGTAAGCTCCTTTACAGCTCCAGCTGAATTCCCAGCACCATCCAGGAGAACGAATCAGGAGTTACAGTATGTAAAACACATGGTGCAGCAGGGCACAGTAAATAAATCATGCCCCGCTCTGCTCCCCTCAGCAGAACAACAGCACACACCGCTCCACTGCATCCACATGGATTCCCCACGTAATGAAAAAGTAATGGAAATTAAAACATGCAAATAACTCAAAAGCTCCATTAGTGGCGCAAACGCTGAGAGAGTAGGAACAGAAAACAGAGACAAAAGAAGAGCCTGACTAAAAACCATGACAAATCCTCTCTGAAACTATCTGGGGTGCGGAGGATTTCACAGCACAGTCAGTGAGAGGCCAATTAAAGTGCATCCCCGCACTGTTTTGCCATATCACATCACAATAAGAGACCTTGAGAAGGGACAGCATGGGTGCACAGGGAAGCTCTCGGCCAAGTGGGCAGCAATGGGACAACAGAGAGTAATACGGGGGCGGGGAGTTCTGTTTCCATGTCTTCTGCTAAGCTTTCTGCAGATGAGGAATAGCCTGACATGACAACAGCTCTGACTAAACTGAATAAAGCCTTAAGCGCGCTTTTGAATAGAAATCTCTGTCTAATCCTTAAATTCCATCTGTTCTTTTTTACAGAGATTAAATAATACCAATGTTATTAGCGATACGACATACAATGCTATCTGAGTGTGTCAGAATACATGTAAAAACGTTTAATATACCAAGTATTTGAAGCCCTACTGTCATTAGGTTGGAAAAGAAAATAATATTAGCAACAATCACCATGTATTCATGTTTCTATAAGTGCAAACACGTGCTGCAGAAGTTATTAAAACATGACTAATACAACAAATTATTAAGGTTTTGATTAAAATGTATTCAGTGGAAACTTTTGACATGGACTGTATGGGCAATTGCCCAGGGCAGCATTAAAAAGGAGCGACACACAATCGCTAGATAAATCCGAGACAGTACTTGATTTTTGTGTCATAAGCAAGTTTTCTATTGCTTTTATGCATGTGCAGTCAGTGGAGGGTTGGTCTGTTTAGGGACAATGTTTTTTTTTTCCACACCAGCACCATCTACAATCACTCTTTGAAGAATATTGAATTGATAAATACAGCAGCATTTAATTTCCCTTTGGGATCTATGAACTGTGTTTGACTGAACTGTATTTTGTCCAGCTGCAGAAAATAAATGATTGCAATGCGCTTTGACTGATTTCAAGGCAGCAGAATAAGGGGCTCACCCAGGGCACACTACCTACTTTTTAAGAAACCTGCATGAAAGAAAGCAAGAAAGGGAGAAATAGAACAACAATAAAGCACAGCTAGGTCGAGTCTGATTAGTGAGCTATTGGTCGGAAACTCAAGACTTGTATCTTTTTCCAATCAACTAAACTAACCACAGACGGATCACTGACAACAACACTCTTTGGTAAGGAAGCTGGCACTGATGGGAATAAAGCTCAAAGTCAGCAATTATTACTGATCTTAAAGAAAAAAACTAAGTCAGCTCAAATCTGTATAGGCAGATTGAATCAAAGATCATAAATAAGTCACAACTTTAAAATAAACAGTTTACCTTTGATATTTCAGGTTTCATAGCATGTTCCCTTCTAGACATCAAAATAAAGCCCAATTTTTTTATACCACCTTTGGCTTCTTGTTTATCCATCAATAGTATTTTAATTAACAATCATAAAAATGTGCATCTTTGACATGGTGAACTACATTTCCAAACTGGACCTCCCAAAAGTATTGCAAAAGATAGCAGTTATGTAAAACTGAGAAAGCGAGTATAAACACATTGGACACTTCTTGGTTTTTAAGATATTTCTGCTCTTGTGTTTTACCCAGTATGACTCCATGTGACTTCAAACATCATTTAATTTAACTCGTGCTACAGACTCTGTGTGTAGGAAGCGGCTGACATGACTTTTTCTGAGAGGAAAACCAGTTGTAGTATTATCCGTTGTTCAACATTAATTAGTGATGCCATGTGAGAGGAACACTCATGCTTCATGCTCAGAGTGCTTGCAGTTTTTCATCCACACAAAATGAATTGGGCCTTTTGAATCCTTTTACTTGCCTCCACCAACTTCTTCTGGTTTTCCTATTTTTCATATTAGAACAATTCTTACTAAACATTCTTCTGTTTCACATGCTTTTACTTGGTGATCTCTCAACCACTTTTTGACTCCAGTGAAAGCCCTATGACTTATTCATGTTGATGGATTTTTCCTGTACACGGCTTGATCTGTTTTTTTTTTTTTTCCCTCCCAACAGTCGTCTCATACTGGATGTGGCCCAGTAGTCCCAGAGCTCCCTATTACACGGCCCTGTCATGGCACAGCCAGAGCAACCTGTCCTGCAGCCATGACACCATGACACCAGGACAGGTACACTCAGCAAAGCATGGCGATGAAACTCAGCCTCTCCATGCTCCCTATACCTCCCTGCATGCTCTTGCTAGACATGGCAAATAAACTGTCTGCTCCCTTAAAAGAACTATCTGAAGCTCCTGAACATCAGATTAATGTGCATTTGTACGGTTTATTTATGTCTGACCGAGCATTAGGGGAATTAGAGGTAGGATGCAAAAGAGGCACGCGAAAAGCAGAACCGGACAACTTGCTGGTTTTGCAAGTTAAAGTGCCTCGCAAAAGTATTCACAACCTCATGACTTTTTTTGTATTTCGTGGGGATTTTGTGTGAAAGATTAACATTAAGTTGCAATAATTGAAAAGCAGGAAAAAACTGACATTATTTTAGACAATCTTTACAAGTTAAAATCTGTAAAGTGTGCCGTGCACTTGTAATAACTAGATGGTCATAAATATGACCATCCTAAATAAAAGCTGAGCATAAATCTACATGCTCTGTCAAGGCTTCAGAGGTTTGCTGGTGGACATTCATGAACCAACAGCATCGTAGAGAGCAAGGAGTGCAGCAGAAGTATGTGGAGGATCTCCAGAGGTTGAATCAGTAAACTTGAAAACCATGTGTCATGCACTCCACAAATCTAGACATTACGTTGAAATGACAAGAAGACAGGAATTCTTAAAAGAAAGGCATTTGAAGCCATTTTTACAGATTGTTCCACGTCATAAACCGGACACGGCAAACGTGGGAGAAGATGCTCCGGTCAGTCAATTCAAAAGGCTTGTCACTGAGCTACACTGAAATGTTCTGGATCAAAGTACAAAGAATGGCCTAATCAAAGACCAGAGATAAACCCAGTGAAAATTTTGTAGCAAGACTTGAAAATTGATCTTTATAAATGCTCTCCATCCAGCCTGACCAATCTGAACACCTTTTATATTGCTCTATCAAATTAGATCCCGAACGATTAAACTGAAGAAAGTTAAAGGAGCGTAAATATTTTAGCACAGCACAAAATGGAACTGGGGGAACTGCTTGTTTGCAGGCAGAACAACAGAAAAACCCGTCAACGGGGCACGTCAAACTACTAGAGTCTGAAAACGAAGGGATGCTTTATAAATCAATAAATGCAAAAAAAAAAGCCGTTTTCTGCCTCTTTTTTATCACAGTCGTCCTTTCCAACTTTGTTCTGTTGTAATCTGGTCAAAATCTTGAAAACAATCTTGAAAAAACTCATGTAAGAAAGACATCATGACGCACAGTTGGTAAATTGATGCTCTTGGCCCGTCTCGTGGCATCTCTGATTTAGAGAAAAGCCTCTGAAGTTTGCAGCTTCACTATCAGTTGCCTCTGCAGCCTTCAGGATCAGTCGATACTTGAAATGTAGCAGAGGCAGCGGGGGGAAAAAAAAGAAAGCCTTTCCCTCTGTTCCTGCATCGTCTCCTCCATTTTCTTCCTCTCACTAATGCATTCCTGTCATCAGGGAGTTGGATAGCATAGTGCAAGCTCAGAAAAAAAAAACATCCACTGTGATGGCATGGTTCTCTCTTAAAACTGTAACAATAAAGGCAGGAAGGAGTTAATCCAGTAGAGAAAGTGATTGTTTTTGTTGTTTGTTTTTTTTGTTTGTTTGTTTGTTTTACAGAAATTCGTCCCAGAGACGCATCGCCTTGTTGTTTTGAAGCAGTTTGTGAAAGTTAAAGGCCGTACATGGCACTGTATCTTGTAAGAGATGACAAATGGTTGTTATCTTGAGGTGTTATTTAAATAATTCAAAGGCAAGATTGTTATTAATCAGGGAAGAGTCACAGCTTCCAGAAAATAAATAAATAACCACTAGATATATTTCGTTTACACAAGTTCTAATGACAAAACTAACCTCTAGTCTCCATCACTGCCCAGACATGAACATAAACACATGATGGAGAAGGGAGGGGCATGATCCAAGAAGTGTCATCCTGGTGAGGCAGGACATGATGGACTAACTCTCTCAGGAAGCACACACACACACACGCACTCACACGCACGCACACACACACACGGTCCCACGGTCAGGATCCGGTTACCTTGCAGCTGCCTGAAGCGTCCATCCAGGATGGAGTTGAAGCAGATGTTGGAGGTGCTGTAACTAAGCCAGCGCGCCCTCTTCATGCTCCTGGCTGATGAGGAAGAGGAGGAGGAGGAGAGGATGGGGGCCAGGTCCGGGTGAGTTTGAGAGGGCCGCGGACGCCGCGGCGTGCAGGAGGAGGACGAGGACGATGATGAGGAGAAGGGGGAGAGCCCCGTGTGCGCCGAGGTAGGTGGGATGTGCAGGACGGTGCCATTCCTCTCGGGGTGCTGCTCCGGTACCTGCTGCTTGCTTGTTGCCTTCCTGCTCTCGGGTCTGAGGGCGCGATGGACTGGTGGGGTGCTCCTGCTCCGGCTGCTGCCGCTGCTGCTGCTCGCTCCGACCCGGACCTGGGCCTCTTTCTCAGCTGGAGTAAAGGGTCGGCTTGCGGTCTCCTTGCTGCTCCGGACGGCTCCAGCATCCCTGCTGCTGGCCTTTAGGCTGATCTTGACGTCTCTTAGCCGGGGTTGGCTTATGGGGGCAGTGCGCAGCAGGCACGGGCTGCTCATCTTGACCCCCAAGCCCCCAAAACAATTAGGACAAGAAGAAAACCTCCACTGGAGCCAGCCGAGGAGCTTGGCACACCTCCTCTCTCTCTTTCTTCTGGCTCTCTGTCCTCTTTTCCAGAGCCCTTTTGCATTAACTCCCGCTCCCTCTCTCCCTCCCTCCCTCCTCTTCGTCTTTCTTTCTCACTCGCTCCTCACTGTTACCGTGATAAAGCTCTGCCTCCACTTTCAGGCGGCACGAGGGCTCTGGCAGCCTTCGGTTTGGTTCAGAGGGATTTATTTTGCAGCCCCATCCATGCATACAGTATGTTTCAATGCATACACGTGTTCCTACGACTCCCACACAGCAGCACCAATGCTGAACATGAAGCACACAACTGGCACGCTTATGAGTTCCTGTGCCAACAATCCAAACATTGCAAAACTACATGCATGTTAGACGAAAAGCAAGAAAGATTTTATTTTAGGCTTCTGCGGTACAACGGATCCTAATGTGCTTTGAAATCATACTAAGTGCATATTTTTGAGTTCACAAGCTGTATACACCAGACGCAGGTAATGTCTTTTCCCTCCCCAACCTCCTTTCACTCCCTGACAGGAAACACTGATTGCATTACAGAAGCATCAGTGCAGCAGCAGCAGCACTCTAACAGAATATCACCGACTGACACTCAAACCTGAAGCCTTCATTACTTAAAGAGACGGGAAGAGACAGCGAGAAATATAGTGAGAACAGTTGCCAGATGAAAGTCCTGGATGGGAAGAGAGGCGTTCTGGACTCCCAGACGGAGGAGATAACGCTAAGTGCTGGAAAAATGGACCCAATCGGATCTCATGGCAGGTGATTCTCAGCTCTGAACCCTTTAAAATCTAAGCCGGTGTATTAACAAAGACGATTTCCAGCTCTCTCTGAGGTCAGACCTCCAGTTTTGACTTAGAATAACTTTTTTCTACTCTAAGGGCAATAAGAAACAAAAAGGAAATGCAGTAGAATGGTGTCTAACAGAAGTGAAGAAATTACAAGATTATTATGGATCAAAATAAATCGTTTTTTTTTTTTGTTTTATTATTAAACTCTAATTTTGACCAGCTGATTACCAGTTAGAGCCAATCAAGGAAAACATCGACAAATCCTATCTCTGATCATTCTATCTATAGCACATGTTTAAAAGTTCATTTTCATCAAATCGCTTGAAAATTAATAGGAGTGAAAGGGCAGTAATGAACTCCTCATTCTCACATGAGGTATCATAGGCCTGGTCAGAGGAACGGCGAATCAACTCATTACTGTCAGAAAAGTGTTATTAGCTCGCAAATTAAGAGTCACAGGAGGCGTAAAGGAAGTGATATTAATCCTACACTTGAGAAAGTGAGGAAAAACTCTGTGCAGCATTGCTCCTTGGGATTTAAGAGGGAGTGCATCACCCAGATAAAGCACATCATTAACTGGGAATGAAACCACCTCTATAAAAGCAGACGTTTTGGGAGCTCGGTCGATACTGAACATGAAGTACACAGCCGGCACAATGCCAAAGCAGAAAGAGCTCAGTAATAATTAGAGAGAGAGAAGAAAATATTGCTCTTCGTTAGTCTGGGAAGAGTTATAAGGTAATTTCCTAAGATGTGCAGTGAATCATTCTGTACTAAGAAAGATGAAAGTAACATGTTGAAGACGAAACCGGTTGTTAATCTATCCAGTAGTGGATTTTTTTCCTTGGAAATTCACTCCAAGATCAGACTACAAGGTTAAAAAGAAGAAAATCTTTTACTAGACAGGCCTCACTTAGCGTGTTGTCTAGGGGGGAAAAAAAGCTGAACAAGTATGTCTCGGAAAAGGATAACTTTTGAACAAATGACAAAAAGGTGTTTGTCGGTGTTTGGAAGAACACACCTCATACCAAGTGTCAAGCATGGTGGTGGAAGGGTGATGATTTGGGCTCATTTTGCAGCCGCAGTACATGAATATCCCACATTCACTGAGTCTACATGATTGTAGACAAACAATTGATGGGCAAGCTAAAGTACTTTAGAGCCAACTGTAGCTGAATTGGTCAACAATAGGTCGTCAACAGCCCATTGATCAAAAACGCAGCAGCCAATTGGCTGAAAAGATTTAGTCAGAGCTAATTGACTAATTCAATCACTTCAACCCGATTGAAATACTGACAGGCGGGAAAAACTGTGCAGAAAAAAATCCTCAAAGAACTAATAAAAACTTTAAAAAGTGCCAAAACTCTTCCTTAATGATGAAAGAGAACGATTTTAAAGAAAAATCATTAAAAAAAAACTATTGTATTTATACATTGCTGTTGCCAAAGGTATTTCTGCATGCAGCCAAAAAACAGCATTAGACGGTGGAATGAGCCGCAGAACACAAGGAATCACACAGGAATTTGATGTTGTAGCTTTACACAATATAGACGCTCACAGTCTTACTCTCGGCCCATGCTGCTTTCAAGAATAAAAGCGGCGTGAACTCAATGTACACAAGCTGCTGAGCATCAAAAGGTAATGTTACACCAGCTACAAAACTCTCAGAGGCACTAATGAAGCACTATTTGTTGCTTCATTTCAAAGTGAAGCAACAAATACTTCATCCATATTGTAAGAAAGTTTGAGAGAGCGGCTCCCAAACACAAGCTCCTTCTCTTCAGAGTGCATTTATATGTTAGCCATTCATCTTTAACCTCTCTTGTATTTTTAACTTCAAAGACGTGAAAATAGTGTGACCTGGAACCTCAACTTTTTCACCACGAGTCCATCCACGTCCATTTTAAAATCCCAAGCAGCCGAACCCACAGGTGGGCCACGGCCTACCGGCTTAGCCAGAAATGTAAGAGATTCGTGCGATGGGAGGCAGACGGACAGGGCAGCTGTCCAGATCGGTCAGACTGTGGACATTCAGAGAATGTGCAAGTGATCCCGGTTACTCGTAGAGGGTGTGAATCGGAGTCAGGGCTCAGCTGCCAGGAGAGTGTGTGTGATACCATAACAGAAATCCACACGGAAACACACTTTTCAAACAAACAGTGTGGAGCTGAAGATTTAAATATGAGCTATGGAGCAGTTATGAAGTTGTTGTTTTTTTTTTGTTTGTTTGTTTTTTCAAGTGATAGTGCTTTTCATTTAAGCTTATTCAACCCGGCCAAAGTTACACAGTTGCGCTCTCATTACGGGTCACCCTCTGCGCCCTTCCCACACTGCTAGACTTTCATCTCAAGAATCTGTCATGGAGGACAGAGCCTGTTTACTATTCAGGCGCTCACCTGCGAGGGCCTTGATGCGTGAGCGCTCGAACAGCCGGGCTGAGCTGTTGTCATTGTCGAGCTCCTCATCAGAGAGGTCGAAGCGGGTGTTGATGTGGCTGTACTGCTGCGTGATCTCCACATTGTCAAAATCCGTGGTGGAAGTCGTGGTGGAAGTCATGGCGGTAGCCAGCGTGGCGGGCGGGCGGCGGGACGGCGGGCGGCGTCCTCTGTTGCTCTGGGTGAAGACGCAGGCGGAGAGATGTCAAACGGCAGGACGGGCGGTGAATGTGGAGAAAGTCTAAAACAGATAAACAACAAGTTACAATAGATTAGTGCAGGGTGCAGTTTGTGGAGTGACTGGTTTCTACAAAAAGATGGGTTCATGGATTTGTATGAGTGCTTCCAGCAGGAAATGCTGCTCCAGTTGCTTGTATGTTGAATATATGCAGCAGTTATCGGCGTGCGTGTCATATTCGTGTCGGGCATTTAATGATGGATTTGATGGATTATTTAGTTCAGGGTGGAATAATATTATAACAAGCAGCTTATTTCATTTTTCATTATAAAAATAATCAGATCCCAAGCTTGAAATTATTGTAATTTTTCAGGATTCTGGCAAGAAATAGGTGAAGCTCATTTAAGTATATTGGTCCGGTGGCGGCACAGGCCCGGCTTTACAAAAAAAATGTCTCAACGGGGTAATAAGTCTGGATTCCAAAAATCTCTGTTCCTGTCAACAAAAATTAATTATTTTTGATCCATACACTGAGTTTCGAACATTTTGGCCACAAAAATGTGTCTATAGCTGATATTTCATTCAACTACATCATCTATAAAACATTACTTCTTTACCTGTCACCAGAATTATAGATTTTTCTGCAAACATTTTTGACATTAAGAAACATTTTTTATTTGTCCAGAAACAACATGCAAATAAGCCCTTGAAGCAGGGCCCACCGTCTCTCCTGCTTTTCTTCCTCCACCCGCTGCTCCATTTTGTGAGTGTCACTCTGCGCGACGGCCCAGATGGTGTCTGTGTATTCTTTGCGTGGAATGGCGGGTTGAAGCGTAGCCACTTAGATAGCTCTATCTGTGTGCAGCATAACTCTCTTATCAAGCTGCACGGTGGGGGGAGAAGGGGTAGGACAACCCCTGTGAGGAGCAGGGCTTGATGATGAAACCGCCTTCTTTCGAGTGATGCTGCTCACGTAGTTTGAAACGCAGAAGTGTGCGAGTCCGTCGGTGGGGATTTGTAAGGAAAGTGAAGTAAGGCGGGAGAGTCCAATTTATGTGCATTACAGTTTTATACAAAGGATACTTTATGTTTTTTATTTCCAGACTTTAAAAAAAAAAAAAAAGCCCTCACTGAGGATTTAATTTGGAGTTGCTGTAATGAAACTGTCCTGGAGAAGAATTCATACGCCTTAAACTTCAATCCCGTTTTGATTCTTTACCCATAAATAAAATCTACTGCAACCAATCACCTTCAGAAGCCACCTCATTAGTAGGTAGAGTCACCTATGTGTAACTTGAACTCAGTTTAAATGCAGCTGTTCTACGAAGGCCTCTGAGGTTTGTCAGAGAGCAAATGTCAACAAACAGAAACATTAAGACAAAAGAGCAGAACAAAGTTTGAGCTAGAAATCTATATCTCAAGCTTTGATCGACCGGAGAACTAGCCAAAGACGCTCATGGAAACTCTGGAGGAGCTGCAGAGATCCTGAACTCAGGTAAGAGCTGACAGCTGACATGATA